AGAGCTCCCTCTGCCGGGTTTGGACGGGAGAGGGATTGGATGGGATGGGAGAGGATGGACTGATGAGGTCTGTGGGAGGGATTCGCGGGCAGGATCAACACCAGGGCTACGGGGGATGAGGAGGTTTTGGGGGGGGGGGGGGGATCGCTGGTTGACAGTCCCCTAAAAGGCTGCCCAGGGGATGCTGCTTCACAAACGGAGAGAAAAATTCCACAGGGATGTGACAGATCCTGCGTTTTCCTCCTGCTGTGCTGAGGCTGCTCTTGGGAACAGCGGGATTTGGTGTGTCCCACTCGCAGCAGCTGCAGAAGAGCTCGGGGGGGATCAGTCTGAGTGTGGCTTATGATACCTGATGAAGGTCCCACGTCCTGGGTGTCAGTGCCAGAGTCCCCAAACTGCCCTGGCCACTGTCCTGTCCCAGCTCCTGGCTGAGCCTCACCGACAAGGATCTGCCCTGTGAGCCATGGATGGAGCAGGATCCAAACAAAGGCCCCTTCCCCTTCTCCATCCAGTCCAGATCCTCATTAACCCAAACTTCTGGGCACAACCCCACTATTTAAAATACAAGAAATCAAGTGCTCCATACCCAGGAATTGTGTGAAAAGGGGGGGTAGTTTTGTCCTAGGTGATGTTTTGGGTCGGGACCTCTGCCTGCAGGTGGGTTTGGGCACCTCCAGCGGGTTCTCAGGTGCTGGGAAGGGGGATCAGAGGTGACACAAATTCCTTCTGCCACAGGGTCCAGATGTGAGGGAGGGCTTCTACAAAAGCAAAACATAATTCAGCTACTAGTGAAAAGACACTGGTATGAGTTTTAAACCTCAGAGGAGAAGGGATGGATAACAGGCATGGAAGGTCCCACAGGGGTAGAGGATCTCTCTAAGGAGGAAAGTTACACAAACCATAAAAAGAGGCCAAACTCACCACTGGTACACTCAGTAGGAAACCGTGAGTAACTGTCTCCTTTAATCTGGAAACACAGGAGCAAGGGAGTATGTCCTGTGGCAGAAAGGCTGAATGACTCATGCACTCCAGAGGTTACTATGGAGTTGTTTACATGCTGCTTTGGGATTAAAAAAAAAAATTAAAAATTAAAAAATAATTAAAAAAAAAATAGGGAAAAAAGCTAAAGAACTCACCCAAAATTAATTAAATAGGAGGAGGTTTGCAGCTGGTAACACGAAGAGGAATAACTCAGCAGGCCAAAGAGGTTTCCAGGAAGAGTCCAGAGGGCTCAGGGATGAACTCACGGAGTAACTAATCCCCAAAACAACTGCTGCTCCTGGTGCCGGGTGGGTGGAAGGTGGCAAGTGTTATCCTGATATTTTTTTAAGAATTCTTGAAGGACCATGAGGAACAACAGACCAGAAGGCCCAGCTCCCATGTTGAGCCAACTGGAGTTCTACAGAGCAGGATTCACGGAGAGAAGAATCGGCTGAAGAGCATCGATGTGGCTCTGGCCAAGGAAAATCCCACCTGGCAAATATTAAGGTTGTTTGAAATGTGCAGCAAGCAGCTGGGGGATGAGGTGATCTGCCATTAACAGCCATCAAATGGATAATTTACAAATTAATAGTTTGGGGGCAAAATCCAAGCTGCTCCAACAAGCAGATCCAGCAGGATCCCAATGGCAGTTTAAGTCTGTTCTTGGAATTTCAAGCCCTATATTTAACGCAGTGCAACCCCATGAAAAACTCAGTGTCTCTGCCATACACAACTGCAAACACAGAGGACCCCTGGCCTTCCCTTCCCTCTCCAGATGGGCACCAAATTAAGTTGGAGGCAGTTTCCACGTGAAGGAGATGAGACACATCTTTCCATAGACAGGATACTGCCAGAGGATACTGCAAATACCAGGAATCTCTATGGACTTGGAAAGGAATTAGCCAAATTAACGGCACCAAAATCCACATTGAGGGGGACATTGAGGGAGCCCCAAAGCTGTAGAGGTGCCAAGGGTGCTCCTGGGAGCGTGGCTGTGCTTTGCAAGGCACATGAAATGAGCTGCTGCTCGAGGCAAGGCTTGGGTTTGAGGGGTGCACTGTGACCCAGGAGACATTCCTGCAGTTTCAGGACACGGCTGGGAGCAGGGAGAGGGTGCTGAGAGCACCACAAGCGATGCTTTCCCCGAGGAAGAGGAGTGCAGTTCAAGCCTGTGAGCGCTGTTGGGTGAGTGGTGGAAACCAGCACAGCGTGTGCCTGACACCAGCCACACACTGGCACTGGGGAGGAGGACAGGAAGGAACTGGAATGGCATCCAACACACCCAGTGTGCTCCCAGGACACACTCTCAGCACACACAGGCCCACGTGGCCTCTGTGGCACGAAAATGCTGCTCTCAGTGACCCAGAAATAGCGTTTCCTTTCTGCTGCCTTATCAAGGCAGTGGGGAGGCGCTTGGCTTGCAGTAGGTTTGCAGGGTAGGAAGGGCTGCCTGCTCCCAAACTGGGGCTGTTTGCTCAGGAAAGGCAGGAGGGAAGCGAGAAATTCCTTCCTGCAGGGAGCCCTGGAAGCGGCACTGGGTCCTGGATCACATCCACCCTCCTCACGGGCAGCTCTCCCCAGAGGTCACACTCCCTTTGCCCTCCCAAAGCTCACACAGATTTTTGTTTAGGAAATACCAGCTGGGATGTGCTGTCCCTTGTGAGCAGGGCTGAGCTGCTATAATAGACCCCTCCCCTGCAGGCCTCCAGCCCCAGCAAGTCTCCAAGGAATCCGTGGAGGAAAAGACAGGCTCCAAGTGCCTGGGGCTGCCTGGCACACTCAGCATTCTCCTGTGCCCTTGCCCAGCACAGGGGGAGGGGACATGAGAGGGAAAAACTGCCCTGAAAGCTTTTGTTTTAGAGCATTCAGGTGCATAATGGTAACATGTTAAAGCACAGGGCCAGGAAAACCACTGCTTGTGTCCCTGAAATCCTTCCTTGAGTCCTGGCAGCTTCCCAGGGGATCCAGCACCCAGCACAGTGGGGGAGGGCACACCACAGGTCCCTGCTGTGACCAAACAGCCCCAGAGCAGCTCAGGACACACAGGAAGGATGAGACCTTGTGCTCCCCAAAAGCAAACAGCGAGTGTCCCCAGGGCCTGTAGTCCCCAAGCTCACCAAAGGCACTCTGCTCCAAGGACTCAAAAATGGATAATGAGGATGATTTCAAGCCCACCTTTCCCCTCTGCTCACAACCTCAGGGGGGTGTACTTCGCTATTTCAGAGCAAGGAGTATTTTATTACTATTGCTTTTGAAGTATTTCTGCTCTGTAAACCCTCAAAGTTCAGCCCCCACCCAGGTCTGGAGGGCTGAGGTGGGGCCAGCATTACACAGCTGATGCTCAAGAAACTGGCTTGGTGTGGAGTCCTGAGGCTTGTGGTAAAAAAAGAAGGAAAAAAAAAAAAAAAAAAAAGCACATTCAGAGAATTTCTCTGCTCTCTGTGGCAACTCCCACTTCCTGCTCCCCAGGAAACCCCAGCACACAGCGAGTGAAAATCAAACAGGACTCACACCCAAGTGCAGCAGAGATAAGAAATTTGGTTCTGGTCCACACTGGGGAGAAATGCAATTAACTGCCAGTTTCTCAGGAGCCAAAAGACTGAACGTTTGCCAAGAGGCTAAAAATAAACCAAAGAGGGCTCTATTTAAAGGCACGTCCTAAGAAATGCCTCTGTCCTTGATTAAATAAACTGCGACTTCCAGCAAAGCACTATTTTCCAGCAATTTAGGGGGGAGCTTTGGCAGCAGGAGAATAAACACCAAGTCCAAAAATTTTAGCACTTTTTTAAAAGAACGACCTCGTGGCTGGAGCTGGGCCAGGACCTCTGACCGGCAGCAAACTGGGGCTCGCTGGGCTGGAGCAGGAGCAGGAGCAGGAGCAGGAACAGGAGCAGGAGCAGGAAGGATTCCTGTTCCACCACGTCCAACCAGCGTCCCCGTGTGGCTGGAGAAGGATCCTTGCTTCAGGGTTTGACTGAATTTTGCCTGTTTACATAGAAATAAACGATCCTTTCCATGTAAATGGGGTCTAAAAGTTCCCACGAGCATTTACAGTGACAAGCCAGAGCCCTGAGCAGGGGGCACCTCTCACTGCTCTCAGAAGGAGCATTTCAGACAAGCCTTAAGAGTGACAACGACTCCAGCTCTGCATGGCAACAACTCCAGCACACCTAGGAAGAGAGTGTTTCCACTTTTTTCAAGACCCTTAGGTGAAAGGAATTGTGCCAGAGCTCATGAAACAGCACCGTTTAACTTGAGAGCTTTAACCCTTGCTAAAGCTACAGGGCAAGAAACAGAGCTGAGCCATGAACCACAGAAGGGATGTCTGCTCTGGTTAAACAAAGCATTGTTTTAATTTCAAGATTTTATAAATACTTTTATTTACAAAAGGAAGGTATCAATCCAAAGAGTTAAATGTACAGCTCCCAAGTATTGCTGGAACACAGGGAGAGGAACCACGTGAATGCAATCCCACAATTTACAACACCCACTATTCAGAGAGAAACCCACATTCTTCATTTATAATACCTCATCCGAAGTTTTCAAGCACAAACTCCTTAAACAGAATCCCACAAGAAGGAACAGACCACTTTTGTACAGATTTTGAACTCCACACACAGAACACACCACTCTCTGCCATCCCAGTGAACACTGCAAGCCAATGTCTCATGATCCCACAAAAGGCTTTTTTCCCAGCCCACAGACTCCTCAGCACACCACATGGATTTCAGGAAGGTGGAACCCTGTCAGTCGCAATCCCTGCTGATCCTACACCCTCCTGGCCCGAGGAAAAGCCCTGTGGCCCCAACACACACTCCAGGACACCTGATGGCCTCAGTGTGACAGGTTGGTCAGGGCTGCTCTCACCTCCCCTCAGTGGGACTGTGTGTGCAGCCTTCCCTGGAACTGCTACACTCTCCATAGAGTGGAGGCCCACAGGGAGAACAGGGATTCCCATAAATCCAGGGGTTTGGGATGTTACTGTGAGATCTGTGAATGCTTCAGATAAACCAGGGCCTGGAGCTGCTCAGAGTTCACTTTCTGCAGCTTCCACGAGACTCCCATGATCTTCCCACTAATCCAACAGCTCCATTTCCTCTGGCTGTCCTTCACTGACACCTCTCAGTGCTGTTCCAATCATGGAATGAGGGATGCAGGGCCAAAAGGTCACTACCTAAACTGGAAAAGCAGCAGCAACAACCTCCAAGAGCAAAACACAGCGATGTCCACGACAAACTATCTGAGGCACCAGCTGCTGGAGGACTTGAGGAGCTCCCAGGTGACAGAAGGCTCAGCTTGTGCATGGCTTTTCTGAAGAATCTCCAGCAATTATCTCTTAATTCATCCAGTAGTTCTAAACCTGCAGCAAACCTAACTAGGATGTTTTTTGATTTAAAGTCTAAGCGAATTAATTCTCATTAATCAAACTAAAGAAAGGAGTTTAAAACACAAACTGCTAGTGGAAAACGGAATATAAGTTGCCAGGAGTGTTAACCTCAAGTCTTGCACAATTTATTTACTTCTTTTGATTCACACCTGGTGTGCAGCTCCCAAATCTCACGGTCTGAGCAACTGTTCTCTGTTGGTCACTGCTGTGAATCCAGCCTGGCTTGAGGCTTCCACCACACTCAGGATGCTGTTTGGTCCTCTGTAGCCACGGTCTGCAAAAGAAAAGGAGAAAAGGGCAGGAGAACTATGAGTCACTGCTGTGATTCTGGGGGCAAAACATTCATTTCTGGGTAGCCACTGCCATGGTGTAAAAGAAACAAAGGAAGATTTTCAGAAGCAAATCAAGCCACAGAAGAGGATGATCCCAGCACAGAGCACCAAGGCAGGGGATCAATGTTTGCTTTTCTGATCATACTGATGACAGTAATTCTAGCCAATATTTGTGAGCTTGTGGCGGCCAAACCACCTCTCCCCAGAGCCATCTAATACAGCCAGAAAAACCAGTAAAGCTGCAGTTAAATGAAGTGGAACAGGGAGGGTTGTTCCTACAGCTGCAGGAGCCCCATGGAAGGCAGAAAACCCAGTGCTGGGGCAGAAAAGGAGCTGCTGAGAAGAGCTGGTTGGAAAGGAGAAAGAACATAAAGGGCAGTGGCAGCCCTTTTAGCCAAGAGTCTTTTTCTCCAGTCACATCCCACTAAATCCTATGGCACTTGCCCATGGCACCAACAAATTACACAATGCTGCAGATGGAACTTGATGCCAGTAATTAGCAAGAGATCCTGTGACTTAACTAAGGGAGCCCAAATTCACAAGGAGGCAAGGTGTGAAGGGTCCCACTGCAGAACCCAAAGCAACAACTCTTTTCTGGGGTCACAGTGTTGTTTTTCCCCCGGGGTTTCCAAAGCCCTGGGGATCTCACCTGCCGCAAGAACTGCTTCCCAAGGTAGTTGGTGGCCATGCTGGTCAGGTTCTTCCTGCTGCCAACTTTACACCTGATGTAACCGTACAGGTTGGCTCCCTGGAGCACCACCCCCATCACAACCACTGCCTGTGGCACAGGAGAATAAAGTCAGAGTTACAGCACCTGGTCTGTGCAGGGCAGGATCCGTTATGGAGCCGAGCAGGGGACTCACCAGCCACTTGACTTTGAAAGAGAAGAGAGCACTGAAGGCAAAAATCACCCAGATCATGGGACAGGTAATCAGGCCTAACCAGAAGATTCGGGCCTCTGCTTCAGATGAGGTTTTACTCCCTTGTGCTGATACCTAAAAACAGGAATGAAGATCACAGAATCACAAGGCTCATCGAGTCCAACCCTTCACAGCACCATCCCCCCGAGTCATTGCCTGAGAGGATTAACAGGCTGCTCCACTGCAGAGATCTCATTGCCCTTAAAAAACAGTGCAGAATCCCCCTGCTCCCTGTTTTTTGCCTCCACACAACAGCACTGGGTGATTTCAAGATTAATTTCATTATTGATGACATAAAGGCCTCTCAGTAACAGAAGGTGTTTCCATTTATGGGATCCTTTTGTCAATTTTCTATCAGACACAGTGGAGGCTGCAGCCTCAAATCCTCTTGTAATGCCTGATCCAACCTGGCCTTGGACACTTCCAGGGATGGGGCAGCCACAGCTTCTCTGGACAACCTGTGCCAGGGCCTCCCCATCCTCACAGGGAACATTTTCTTCCTCATATACAATCTAACACTACTCTCTTTCAGTTTGAAGCCATTCCTCTATGTCCTATAACTAAAATAAGGATCCAAAGTGGTAAATATGTGGCATGTCTGACAGATGTGACACCAGAGAGGCATCAGGAACACAAAGGCAAGCAACAGCCAGCACCAGCTGTGTGTTTCTTCCTACTTCCAATAGTTCTCCAAAGCAGCAAAAAGGCTACATCAGCTGTTTGAAGCTCACACCAGAAAATCTGTAGGATGCTGATATAACATGGGAACCTTTCTTGCCTTTCATGTGGGACTTTTAGGTTACTTATATTAAGCTCAACACATTATGAGAACTTTTAAATGACTCAACAATCCAAAAGCTCATCCATCAGCCTTTGGGAAACAAGCCTGTAGTGACAGACCTGTGGCTGGAAGTAAATGTGCATTTGTGCAATCTCTACCTTCAGCCACCAATTAATAGTGGGGTTCATAAAACAGAAACAATTAACAGATAGGAAAAAAAAAAACAAAGGAATTTACCTTTCTGGCTTCAAACACCCAGTGACTTCTACCATCATCATCCACCTGGTTCCACCAGCGAAGGCCAACCATCAATCTCCCTGTGACATTCTGGAACAAGAAGAGCAATGAGCTTCGTGTCTCCTGCTAAAAGAAACTTTTTGCCAAAGTTCAGCTGCCTGGGTTGCTGTTTTCCATGGTTGCTTGTGTGCCTCACATTTGGGAAAACAAGATTCCAAGGCCCTTATGCCCACAGCAATCTGCTCTGTAGGATGTTGCAGTACAACGTGAAATGACTGATTTCTGCTGGTTCCAAGGTGATCTGATAACAAAGCTTGTGCTGCCTCAAAAGAAAGTCTAAAACATGCTCCCCATTTGGTTCTCAAAATGACACCAAGCACACAGACTTGTGATTTCATAACACTTTGCAACCCATCACAGAACTTGAAGGGGTTTTTGGGGTGTCCTTTTGCAGCAAAGGCACAAAGAAGTTATTTTTTTGAGACATGAATATCACTGTCAATTATTTTTATACAGTAAGGCAAAGATAACAAAAAGTATAAGAGGAACTTACCTTTACAGCCCAAAAGTCACAGGACAAGAGGAGGATAATGGTCACCATGCAGGCAATAAAGCTGCTAGTTAAGAGCTCACAGAGCAGATAGACAACTATGGCACTGACTCGGAAGAATAAGTGGAAAAATGATGCCACTGGGTGCCTGGAATGAAGGACAGGACAGTCACAGCTCCTTCAGACAAATGACATTGCCAAGAGACCTCCCAGGATAAGGATCAGCATCGTAACATGAACCCAGTGTGCAACAAGTTCTGAAATCATGGGACACAAACGGAGTGGGAGGTCACCACAAGGAAGAGACATTCTGCATGCAGGGACATCCCACACGCAGGCAGGATTTGGGGTGGGAGGGGACAGGGAGCTTCCCCTGGTGGTCAACACATGGCAATTTTTATGGGGTAAATCTGAAGGGGTTCTGACAGAGAAAGCTCCTCTGAAGGAAAGATGCCACTTCTCAACACAGCAGAGTCGCCCTCCTTCCTGATTCCATAGAATTATGGAATGGGTTGGGGTGGAAAGGGCCTTGAGCATTGAGTTCCATCCCCCTGCCATGGCAGAGACATCTGGCACTAGCCCAGGTTGCTGAGTTTCTCAGGTCAGAAACGAGAGCTGAGGTCACAGCACGAGGGATGGACACTGCTCCAGGGGGGTGATTTTGGGCAGAACAAGGAAGGAGCCACTGGGCTAATAGGCCAGGACTTGGTAGAGAGCAGGGAAGCACAGAGCACATTTGGGGGAAGATAATGGAGCAGCCCAGCCCCAGCACCTGACACGGTGAGAACCCCCCATTACACAGAGCTGTGTCGCTGTGGTGCCCTCACACACAGGGATTCAAACACAGATCAAGTGTGAGCACCCAAAAACATGAAAACACAGATCTACCCATTCCAACTGAGCTTCTGGAACTGGTGCACTCAGTTATCCAGAAATTACTCTCCATAAGTATATAATTAATGAAGAAGACACTTGCCATTACATATTTTCATGTAACATGACAGTCCTTCCTTCCTCACACTCCAGCCCAGAGCTCATCTAGAAACTCCCTCTGTGGCCACTGACCTTATTTTTGACTTTTTTGATCTCCTGGATAAATCATCATCTGCATCAAAGAGAGACACGTCCTCAATGTCATCACTGTCCTGAAGAGGGGAACAGAGAAGGGTTACATGAGAAAAATTAATCCATTTCTAACTTCAAGCAGAGACAGTTTTGATCACCCAGAAAATCAGAGGCACCTCAGGATCAAAACTAGTTAAGGTAAAATGTGAAGATTTAACCACATACAAAACAAAAAATGCACAGAATCATGGAATCTCCTGAG